CCATAAATTAATTTTTACTGGTCCATAAATTAAAACTTACATCATTATCTTGTCTTGCCTTTATTCCATTATTTGGTGCCGTCGCAGTATGTCCTCTTCTTCCTCTATTCTCTATCAGTTGTTATATCTGAGCTTAGTAGTATTATCTTAGTTTATATTCAATTGACAAATAATGGGTCATAAGAATATTATGCGAGAATGTTATTACTTTTAGTGCTGATAGTGTTTCACATATGACAAACAATTGGTATTACGACCGGGATTGAATAAATTAAAATCAACGACAAGACGTGGATGTGAAAAAGTAATAAAAAAATGAAAAAAAAAAACATAAATTTTGCTTCATAATAATTTCCTTATGATAGACACTGTGCTGTCCCAAATTCTTTGTTGCTATTTTGGTTAGACCCTACACATATCACGGATAGTCGTAAGTTGAAGAGCTAGGTAGAATACTCTGAAACTAAATCACATTTACTACTAAACGACGTGGGAATCTACAAATAAATTATGAACTGTCAAACTTAATTGATTGATCATGACCTTGTCTAGTTTGCGTTAAAATTTTGGAAGTATAGGTACCTAATATTTTCCGCTGTACCTCTTGGAGACATTTGTCTCTCTTTTGGGTTTCGGCTTGATATATATTTCATGATTGACCCCGTACACTGTTGCATGTCTTTTAAACAAACGCCGATGAATGTGCGACCACCCTAATCGACACGTCTGACGGGTTTTGGCTAAAACGTCAACGCAACGATCGCGTTTCAAAGAAAAACTGTGAATTAATCAGGCACTAGCGCGAAATGGATGTAGTGTCATTCGTCTCTGTCAGTCATGGGGACGGTTATGTGTGGAAATGAGATGGACGACAACCGGGAGTGGTTACCCGGTCATTTGTCCCTTGCGGCACGCACGCCTAGCTTCATAGGGCTATATACTATACTTTTATCGGAGCAGCTGAATGTTTGATATCAAATTGATTATCAAAACGTCAGTACGAACCTAACGTGAACAGATGGCACGTTTTAAACGGGACTGTACCTTTTAAAAATTACGGGTCTCGGTGTCCCCAAAATGAACTCTGGGACGCAAATGTCCCGTATTCGGAAACTCCGCGAAAATTTATACAGCCGTGCGGGACGGGGCGGTTGTGATGTTGATTATTGATGATAATTATAGTGAAATAATTAGTCTAGCTATTCAAAGATGGAACGCTGCCAGTATCTTCGGAACTTTGCCTAAAGGGACCCCTTTTAATAACATATTTTAGTTATTGTATTATATTTTTTAAGCTTTTTAATTGTATAATTAAGTTACGTAAATGATATAATTAGTTTAGTATTGTTGTCTTTAAAATTAAATAATTACAAATTAAAATTATACTTATATAAAAAAAAATTATAGCGAATATAAAAAACGTGCCAAGATTTTCAGTCTTACTTAAAAGCATCACTAGCTATATTAAAGCAAATTTGTTCATCCAATAATATTTAACTTTTAGGCTAAAGTTAATTTCTGAATAAATAGCTTTAAGAAATTGTCTTTTCATTGCCTATCTATTAATTGACATAAATAAATCAATGTCCCGTTTTGTGTCAAAGAATAAATGGATACGTTAGTCATACTTATGTGTATGAGTGTATTTCTTCTGGCGTTATCTCACACGCATTTTTAATTCCGGTATAAAATGTCGCTTTATTGTTTTCATTTTACTGTATTTACATGCAATTATTTCTTAGTACTAATTTAAACGAATGACAACAAAACTGCGTCTAATCAAACATTTACATACATTTACTGAAGAATATATTGCAGTTAACACAACGTAATACAACTAAAACTTTTGTACCTAATTGTCAAAGAATCTTTCAGAACGTTCATTTTAAAAATTTGTAACGCCAGTTTCTTTATAAGTTATATTCTTCTGATTCTTATACTATATAAATATAGCAATAATAAGAATTGATTTTAATTATTTATTATTAATTTTGTCATAAATTAAAAAACATATTTATTATTTTAAAAGAGTTGGTAGGATCGTATTTTTTTCTGTACGCGGATACCTATATGCCTAATTGGTATGAATATTTATTCTTATTACTTTTCCATTAATTCATCTATAATTAGAACCTAAATGTACCGAAACATTATATCAAGTTTCATTACTTATTTCTAAATGGTATATTAAAAAGAACGCTTCAAAAATTTAATTTAACCCTACATAATATTTTATTGCATCACATGTCGGTGCTATCAAACGGGACGTGTCAACCCTAAAACTCGGGGTTATATTACACATTTAACGATGGCCGAATATAAAATGAATAGTTAACAAGCCAGTAATGACAAGTGATTTGGCAGTGTCTGCATCGGAAATCGAGGATAAACGCTCCGATAACTACACGGACGTACTGACGTATCGTGAGGAATGTATTGCGTTAATTTATCTGCGTTTCCAATTAATTTGATGTACAAATCAATTGTTTTTCTTTCTATATTCAAATTCATGGCTATTTATGGTATGGTCATGTAATGCAAAAAGAAATACGCAGTTAAAAAGCTTTCCAACTAACAGAACATAAAAGAGGTAGAGGACGTCCTCCAGCTACTTGATAGACCAGCATGACAAATATCTTCGAGAGGGAAAAATTGCCTAACCCTATAACCTAGGGCCGATTGTCCTGGTGTCGCAAAATTAGGAGAGTCGACCAATAAAGTGGGATAGTGCAAGAAAAAAGGGATTCAAATTCAAATTATATTAACAGTATATATACTCATAATAAATAACAATAACTATCTTCAAACTACATATACTATATATGTGTAAATATAGATATATTACTAGACTTAAGATTACATATTTAACAGATTATTAATTCAATTCAATTCTGTATATTATGAAGATAATTCCTACGATATTATGCGTCTTTACATTCTAAAGTAAATTTTATGAATGAAAGCAAAAACAATAAAAATATATAATTAAATATAAGTAAAATAACTAAATGATGCAGAACTATAGTTGACAGATAGTAAGTAAAAAGCGCAGGAGGCGCCCTCAAACAAAGTACAAATACAGTATTGAGTGATGTTAGTTTGAAAATAATCACTATGTACAATTTCTTAATAATATTTTTATTTTCTTCTGGAAACATAATACAATAACTAAATTATGTTAAGATACAAATCAGCTGTCTTACGAATATGTACGGTCTTTATATTACTTTATACTGTTACATTTTTTTTAATTAGGACTGAGAACGTCTTGTTTAGTTTAGTTTAGTTTCATTTATTGACCAATGTAAAAAACATCTTTACATATATGGCAAGTCATAATATACAATAATGATATTTATAAAATTTAAATTCGATTACAATTATATTATTAAATAAAATAAAATAAATTAATTACGTACACAATACACGGTATAAACAATTATAACACGTCATAATAATGTTTAAAAATCATGATTACGGTATAATTATATAATTACATTTTGAGTCATATATTCTGTTATATTATAAAAAGGATGTTTTTCAAAATAATATTTTATTTTCAATTTAAATTCTTTTGAAGGTAATTGTCTGATAGTAATAGGTAGCTTAATATACATTTTTATTTTTAAAGTAATGCCATGTTTAAATGTTTTATCGAGTCTTGTTTTTGGCAATTGTATATTATCTTTATTTCGCGTGTGGTAATTATGATTATCTGAAATCTTACTTAGCTCATTTTGAATTGTATGTTTACTTTAATAATTGTGATAGAAGATCGCGTTCTTCTAGCGTTATTCTTTATTATATGAATTTGTTTCCGCTGATATAATTATGAAATTAAATCGAAAATAATGTATTTATTTTAGGACAGTTTAGCTACATATGAACATCAAGGTCTATATTAATATTTCTTCTCTACCATCCAGGTCTACCAGATTCAATTGAGAAGAACTGGCAAGATACTCAACTGAATTTCCATTTTTTTAAAAGCCACTTTAAACACTTACAGAAGTTGCCTAACATTAAATGAATTTCCCGTGAATGAACAACTATTCCCATACACTATGTTCTATTAAAAGAAAGTGGATACTCAAATATTAACGGAATCGAATACACTGCAGTTGAACTATTTAATTGAATAGACTAGCAACTAATTAGCTACGACGGTCTGTAGCGGTTGAACTCTCTCCTTCAAGTTTCAAAGGTCGTGGTTTTGATTCCCGCACGACCAACATTTGTTCTCATGAGTATTTTATGTCTGTTTTGATAGTTTTTCTTTGTATATTTTTGAGAATGTCCATCAGTGACTGGATAAAGCTAAAATAATATCTCAGGACAATTCATACAGCGCCATCTAGTCCCAAACTAACCAGAGCTTGTGTTAGTACTAGACAACTGATATGAATACATAGATACTTTTTTTGTTTTATACATAATATACATAGAAAACATTCAGAGCTGTACAAACAATCATACTCATCAATGCATATGTTTATACCGTGAGAGGAATAGAACCTGCGACCATCGCAAGTAAGGCAGTGCGCCAAACCGCTAGACCACCGACGCCGTCAATTGTATACAAATTTAGAATATCGTTTCCACTATTTGTAAACATAAACTCTCAATTAAACTATAAATGTACCGCAGGTAAAACAAATGGACTGTCGAAGTTAACATATCTACGAGTTAATATTGAAAAAAATATATTTAATTTCAAAGGCGATTGTTACAAAAACTATATCGATCCATCACTCGCTAGTAACGTGGCTCCATTCCCATTTACACCCACATCGAAGTGAATATATTTGCACAACACAACAAAATTTATTAAAGTCAAAGCGAATAGCCAAATGTAAACATGAGCCTCTCGCATTGCAGTCTATTAGCAAAATAAGTCAATAGGGAAAGGTCCCTGTTATGTTAATCTGCTCACTACGCGAGCTTTATCTAAAGTGGCGCGGGCGTTTGGACCTTGGGGTTTTTGGACCCTGGGGACTTACCCGTAGGCAGCGAGCGTTGGGTCGTAAGGGTAGTAGCCACCGGAGGGTTGGAGGCCTGCAGAGGTCCACGCCGACATTTCACCGCCACCCTCCTTCAACGCGTAAGGGTTGCTCTGTAACACCGCAACACACAATAAATAAATATAAAATTGAATATTTTATAATAAACGCTAATGGAATATTATAATACTATTAAGAAATAACAGTGAAGGTAAATTAACACTCGGTCGTGACCTTTCGCGAGTGATCCTGTAAAAATCCCAAAATTATACAGGTGAAGTAATTGCAAGGACTTTACAATAGTATTTGCATGCAAAAATATATTCACAAAAACAATGATTCAGTACGGAAAATTCTCGATATTATGCAAACATCTTCTTGGAAATGCAAAATATAAATTAGCTATCCTTTTATTTTTGTAACGTTAAAAAACTAACGTCCTTCTGTAATGTTAAAAACATATATTTTAACGTAAATTCTTATCTATTTTCTAGACAACAAAGTATTTTTTTCATTAACTTTTTAAATACAGAAATATCAGATGGATCCAATAACATACTAGTACACTTTCTGTATTATTAAAAATATATATTGTAAAGTAAATTCTTATGTATTTACTACATATTAAAGTACTTTTTTCATTAATTTTAAAGACTAAAATACAAGATGGATCTATTATAATACTAATACACTTAATTACTAAAAACAAGGTCATAGAAAACGACATTGTAACTGAGCCGTATAATCACATAAATCTCTACTCGTAATAGATCTAAGTCAATCAGGACAACAAATATACGACTGCGAATTTAATTAAAGCAAACTTAATAAAAGGGAATAGACTCGTATCATAATAAAGGTCCCAAGTGTACGTACAGATATATCACTAACGCATTTGCATAATATAGTATGTGGGGGATAAACTGTTAAGACATGTACCCTCGTGTCGAGTGATAGTGGTCCGGAGATACCGAGGGATTTCTCATTCGCATACATTAGGAGCAACTAAATTAAAAGTGTGATCGACACCCCTACATCTCGCCCCCTTCTTCGATAATAAAACGAGCAGCATTATGATACATATGGTGCTCTGGTTTTCGATAACCGAATAGAAGAGCGAGTTTATTTGTCCCACTCTTTGAGGAAAGCACCATTATAGTTTACGCGATTCATCTTTTCGTATACGTCCTTTAGAAGTTATTTTTATTTTGACGCCCTCGATGGTTCAGCGGTAATGTGCCGCTTTACTTCGACTGTCGCGGGTTCGAATCCTCGCATGATGAACATTATAACGACTGTTTGTATTGGTCTGAATTTTACCTATGTATATTATGTATGTATTTGTATCTGTTGTCTAGCACCCATAACTCGCTCTACTTAACTTGTAACTAGATGGCTGTATGTCTTAAGAAATAATATAACCATCAGATGGGCCGTATGCTTGATTGCCAACATCGAAGTATAAAAAAAAATATCTTTATCAATATGTGTGATTTTGCGAATTTTTTTTTATCCTACGATGGTGAAAATACCATTCCAACCGTATCTTTTTTATAATAAACGGTAGCCTATTCTGATGGTAAATGGTTACTGTAGCCTATAGACTCCTGAAACACCAGGGCTCTCACTAAAACAGGTGCGCGTTGACGTTGACGCTATTATTGTTTATTTTTGGGACAATAATTTACAACCGTTCATGTGAATGTGCAGGAAAACATTAGAAATTAATAGGTTCATTCTTAAGGAACAGAAGTAGCGCGTCCAAGTGGAACATCGCTTGTTTATTCATCACGAATAACAAGTCCGTAACACTTATTATTAACATGCTAAGTATTCTCAGATAACGACTTAATTGCTGTACCAGGCTGTAGTTATATCAGCTAACAGCTAAACACCTTGTTAGTTCTATTGCTCTTACAAATTGCCTAACTAACAATCGACAGGAAAATGTTATTGCAAACAGAAAAGTCAAACAAAAAATGAAGTTAGTACATATTAGTACATTTATTTATAACATAACATTTGGTATTAACGGTTCATAGAGAAACGGACCTTGAAAGAGAATAGATTTATATTATATTTTAAAACTAATTGTATAAAATTTATTTATTTCATTATTTATTCTTTAATGCACAATATAACATGTACAAAGGCGAGCTTATTGCCGTATGGCAGTCATCACCAGCTAACCTTTAGGTATACAGAAAGCGTTGTGGGGCAGTTATGTCAAAAAACAATCACAAAGTTACTAATAAATGTTATATAATATACCTATATGAAATCCTATATCTGGAGTATAGCCTTGTATGCGTGTGAGACGTGGACATTAAATCAAAAGGAAAGAGACAAACTGGAGGCTTTTGAAATGTGGTGTTGGAGGAGGATGGAAAGAATTAGCTGGAAGGATAAAGTAAGAAACGAAGAAGTACTACACAGGGTAAAAGAAAAGAGGCAGATATTGAACACAATAGAAAATAGACGAGGAAAAATGTTAGGACACTTGATACGGCACGATGATTTCATGAAAATTATTATTGAGGGGAAAATAGAAGGAAAGAGGGGGAGGGGAAGACCAAGGAATAGCTACATCAAACAAACTGAGGACAAAATGGGAGTCGTGTCGTATCAAGAATTAAAGAGCATGATGGAAGATCGCGCAAAGTGGCAAGAGCTCCACCGACAAGAGCGTAGCTCTTAAATTACGAATGAAAATGCAAATAAATATATACATTAATGCTAAATATAGAGAAAATATAATACAAATACAATGCTATACAGTTATAACTCATTTTGGTGACACAAGAGAAAATGAAATAACTAATGGACACGAATATGTAGAGTCCGACATGAAGTTAGTACAATTCATAACATTTAGTTTTAACGCTTCATAGAGAAACTAAGCTTGCTATGGGATGAGTGTTTTTTTTTTTATATTATAGAACCAATTGTATAGAATAGATACATATAGATATATAAGATTATATGTATGTATAAAATATATGTAGATTTCTTTATTTAAACCATTATGAGGTACTAGTATTTATCTTGCTAATATTATAATCGCGGAAGTTTGTAAGTATGGCGCTTGGATGAATGTTTGTCTCTTTCACGCAAAAATTACTAAATCGATTTTAATGAAACTATACAAAAATATAGCTTATATATCAGAATAACATATAGGCTAAAAACTAACCTGCAGTTTCAAATAAAATTCATACAGTAGAAAAAAAATATTAATCCAAAAGTTTGGCGTTCATGAGCCGCTAAAATGTCCTACGTGAATGATTTTTAGTCTAAGTGTTAACCTATATTACTGAAAAGTTTCGTCAAAATTCGTTCAGTAATTCACCATGAAAGGGTCCACATATATCCAACCATCTATCTATCCTATTAGTAAGAAATTTGCGTTGTATATTTCTCCCGAGCAACGTTGGTACCTATAAGTAATTGTCTAGGATAGTCACAAGTAATTACATCTAATTTACAAGATGTAGATATTATATCAAACATGTACATACAACACAAGACACATTTATTACAAGCTGTGGTGTGTATTTATTAATGCTATAATGCATGACACAAATAGCATACCATACAAATAGCGAGTTGATAATTAATGTTTAAGTGTACTCATATATATTTCTTAAACGACTTCAAAATCGCTACGATCGCCGTTTAATAATAACCAAGTTTATATTCTTTAACACGAAAATGTCATAATCATAATAATATGTACTGGGATAGAACAATAATTACTCATAAAACCGTACATCACAATAGACCCGACATAACATTACACGACAAAATGAACAAAAAAGTATATCTTGTAGATATAGCCATCCCAAACACATACAATATGCAAAGCACCGTGAATAGAAAACTAATAAAGTATACAGATCTAGCAATAGAATTAAAAAAATAATGGAAAGCACACACCATCCATATAGTACCAATAGTTCTGTCATACACAGGAATTATATGAAGTCTCAGGAAACACTTAGACACGTTGCAAATCCTCTCAAAATTTTTTTTTTCAAATTCAAATTCAAAATCATTCATTCATGTAAGACATTTTAGCCGCTAATGAACGTCAAATTTTTACATTCTAATTTTGATTTTTTCCCTACCGTCCAGCTCGGTATACCTATAGATCCGATTGAGAAGAACTGGCAAGAAACTTAATTAAATTACAAATTTTTTTAAAGCCAGTTTATTTACAATGTATATTTATATAGGTGTCTATGTCTAACATTAAATGAAAATTCAGTGCATGAACAACTATAACCCTGCATGCTCGTCATTCAAATAATCGTTTAGTGAGTAATAGGCTTTGCTCAGTAAATATGATTTAACAGATGTTTTGAATTTATTTAAGGGTAATTCCAACATATCCTTTGGTATCTTATTGTAAATTTTTATACCTATTTTCATAAAAGACCTATTAACTTTTTCTAAACGATACTTGAGGACAGCAAGTTTGTCTTTAAATCTAGTATTGATATTAAGAATATTGCTGTTTTTTGGAAATATTGCTGTTTTTTGTGTTGGATAGTCCATTTGTCAAGGAAGGCTTTAGTCTATATAACATTACTCTACGACTAATAGGAGCTGCAATAAAAAATATTGCAGAAGGTGAGGAAATGAAACGCAGACGAAGTTGCGCGAATCAGCTAGTATTGGATAGAAATAAAAGACGCATCATTTACTTCTATTCAATATATAAAATTCTCGTGTCACAATGTTAGTTACCATACTCTGAAACGGTTTTACCGATTTTTATGAAATTTTTTATGCATACTCAGTAGGTCTGAGAATCGGCTGTCCCTAACCCTCAATGATAACGAAGACCCACCCCTAAATATATTTTTTTTATTATTTAGCACTAATACTTACAACCCTAAATTTTATTTCCTAAAACCCAAACCCTATTTCTTAAATACCAATATTAATTTATATAGCAAAACAACGTTTACTGGGTCAGCTAGTTATGATTTTAATAAGACTGTATAAGTTATAAATTATTAGAAATTACTTTCTATTTATTACACGAGTTTCTTGCTTATTCTTCTTGTGATGAATCTGCATTCCGAATAAGCGGTAGAATGAAAAAACT